TAGAACAACAGGGCAGATGATCTCGTCGCCTTAGCGCTGTCCATTGATATTTCCATCTACCACTATCAAACGGGTCCTCTGTCTTGCTCTAATCCCACCTCATGCCATAACACTGCCCCGAACCCATCTTCTGCCATGACACAATGATTGACGGAACGTTCACCTTGACGTCAGTACACTCGAATCCGTTCATTGCTGTGGCTGAGGTGAAAACGAGACCTGTCAGTTGATAGAACTTCGAGTATTATAGAATATTTTTATCTATTCATTTCACATTTTATTGTTTTTTTTCAATATATTTAAAAACAACAACCACCCAAAAACTAAATGAGAACTATTACTATTGAAAAGATCCCAAATAGATGATTATTTGAAATAAGTATCCCATCTGATGTTCCTCCTTACAAAACGTGACTGGTCACAAATAACCTCTGGAATGCTAATAGCATTAATGCTTTTGTTTAGACAGAGTGTAATCGTTTCTGTGAAGCCGGTATCGGCTCACGAAGGGCTTGCATTTGAATCTCTGTAGAATCAACCCAAAGGTTGATCGGCTTACTGCCGTTGCGGATTAAAAAAAAGAAGATTTTCTGATGAACTGATGAACAAATAGAAGAATACGTTCCAAAGTCCTCTGCAATTCCACACATACCTAAACCATGTTTTCACGATGACTGCCAACAAAATTGGGCGGTGAGAGAAAAGGCAGAACGTTTTTCCGTCGCCATCCTTTGATCAACAATTTGAATGAGTTTTAAGTTTTAAGCACTTTGATTGGCGTACATTTAGACAAACAAACAAAGTCCAATGTCCAATGTGTGTAACATGATTCAAAAAGGGAACTAAATCTGGTATGCACTATCTGAAAATATTGGGACCAACTACTAACTCATAAATCAGATGTTGCTTGGTGAAAAGTTGGCTGAGCTCTCTTCCTCATCTAGATATGTACCTGTTGTCATCAGTATCATCTATATCAATTTGATACAATATTTTTCTGATAATTCGACACCCAGCTAATAGCTGTTTGACGACCATTATCAGCCATGACAAGGGAAGATGAGATTGCATCAGAAAAGGTAAAAAAATCTCTTCAACAGTTTGTTTGTTAACTTTATGTTATCTTTAATAATTACACCAGCTATTCAATATATCCCTCTAAAAGGGATTTTTAATGGTAAGAAACTTAATATTTGCACCAAACAAGGAAAATATGTTTTGATTGAGAATTATTAAATGTTGACAAGGTCGTTTTTGGTAAACTTCTTCTTAAAAATGAATGAATAAATCAATGAATTAATAAATTTGCAGGTTTCAATCATTCTCAGACCAGCTTCTTCATTTTTCCTATTCAAAACGGATTGCTTTGGTTTGATTTATTATTCCAAATGAGTAGATAGAAATAGTTTATTTAACTTTCCAATAAAACCTCGGGTTGGTTTGGAAGTGCTTATTTTGACTGAGCCAGAATCTTAGTGAACATGACCTACCTTATAATGTTTAATTTATTTTTTTCTAGCTCCCTAATAATCTATTAATATGTTCGTAGTTTTTTCTTGTATTTATTAACCATAGATCGTGTGATATGGGACTAAATATTATTCAATAAGTATCAAAGTTTACCTCATGCCAGTAGTTTAGTGTTGCTTCCTGCCAGTAAACCTATCCAAATAGCTTTAGTCATGTCTATATCTTCCTCAAGGCCAGAGTTTATGTAAACTATATTAAAATTATCTATGCAGCTCTAAGAAACTCTTCAGAGCCATCTAAACATAAATGTGTATCATCTAGAGATTGACCTAATTTATACTCCACAGCGTTTATTGTTATTCCTTTTAAGCTTGTCTTATTCCTAATCATTATTCCTGGTATCTACGCTACAAGCAAAATAAGTAATGGTTAAAGTGGGTCTTCTTGCCTACATCCTCTTTGGTTCTGAAAATATATTGGAGAAATATATCCATTTGGTAGAGTTATGATACATTCTTATTTAAGATTTTAACCCATTTCATGACATTTGGTATGAAACCAAATTATTTCGTAACCAAGTCAATTAATCGTTTGGAAACTGTGTCAAATCCTTTTCAAAAACAATAAGTAACAATAAGTAACAATAAGTAATAAGCTAAAAAAGCTCTGCCCTTTTTTGTTCTTTCAGCTACACACATGATATCATACATGCTTCCATCATTTTCACTTATCCATGAACAAGGTATAAAGCCGGTTTGGTTAATATGAATTAATGTGTCCAACGTTTTCTTAATTCTGATTTCTAAACAAGAGCTTAAACTTGTAAAATCGGTCGCCTGTTTTTCAGATACTTTCTGTCTTTCAGAATACATGTAATTATTCCTTTAACTATAGGTAAGATTATGTGATTAATCTGATTTTTGTATATACATATATATATATATATATATATATATATATATATATATACCTAAAAATCCATACACCTAAGTCATTCCAAAATAATGAAAAACAATCAACTGCGGACACATTCAGGCAAGGGCATTTGTTTACAACTTTTACGAGTTCAAACATTTCAACAGGTTTTTCAGTGCTATCCGCAAGTGATTGTAGCCACCATCTGATGCTTGTCTGATTTCAAAAGTGTGTTCCCTATCAGAACTTCTAGATGAATACAGGATTTTGTAAAGTTCTTTCTGTTCAGGCAGTATTTTCTATCCTTCAGTGACACCTTCACCATTGGCATTTGTTAAAATATTAATGGTCTTATTGGTGTAAGTTCAGTTTTCCATGTGACGGCTTTTCCCACTGAATCCTACTTCTTATTTGCCTTCCCCTTTCTGCATCATCCTTTAACTATTCAAATTCTAATAAATGTGTAACATCATTATCGGGTGTGTTTTACAACATTTACAACAAAACAAGTACTCACAAATCATCCAGTATTCATGACATTGTTCCAACACTAAGCATGCACGCCATTTCACAGGTCACCACACCTGTGAAGAATAGAGACCGGTTAGGATAGATCTTCAGCAACCAATGTGTATGGTAAGAGGCGACTTACGGGAACAGGTGGTTAAGCTCGCCGACTTGGCTGATAGCATGTTATCGCATCCAAATTAAGTAGATCGATGCTCATGATGTCACTGGACTTTTTGGTTCAGACTCGATTATTTACAGACGGCCATCCTAAAGCTTGATTACTGCTGCGTGGGGTGTTTAACAGAAAACAAATAAAGTCACCTCGTTATAATGAAGGCCGGTAGTCACATACTACCACGCCTTACACAGCAACAGCCATGACACCACAGTGTAATTTTATTTTTAAAAAATAGAACGGCAGAAACGATGAAATATACATGTAAACGCCTGTGCACATTGAATCTCAGAGGCAAAATAGTTGTAAAGAATATCGTGTCCCCATGTTTTCAGAACTTGCAAAACCAATTTGAGCTGTTTTAAATTTGATAATGTTATCTGGCATTAAGGCATAATAAAATAACCAAACGACTTTATTTACACTGCCTCTGTGTGTTAATTTTGTATTTACCACATTTTGTCCTCACCTGGTTAATGCCGGGGAAGATTTATATCTACGATTATAATCTGTCCCATGCATCGGGTAACTTCTATGAGAAGGTGCCAAAGTTCACCCGCAATCATTATTGCTTCATTAGAGGATAAAAACTATTCACAACTGCTGTGAGTGGTCAGTTGTAATCACAAAGGCATCCGGTCATTAGAAAAAACAAGCCAAATGCATTGGTCAGTGTCAAATACAAAATACAAAGGTGATTAGCTGAAGCCAGTAATAATACTAATATATATTCACCCAGCAGTGACAAAGCATTAGGGACGATGAGCTTGTCTTGACTTGATGAAGGTGTGAGACAGAATGTGTGAGAGATCAGGCACACGCGCTCTTGACCCACTTGTCCAATGCTGTAAGACGCTATACAATGAGAGACCAGTCTCGCCGTTTGTGGGCGTTTACATCCCACTGTAGCATCTAAATACTAGTAAAGCAAGTTCCTGACTGCTTAGATTAAATTGCATAACATTACTGACGACTAATCACAGCCCAAATACAACGCAATGAGTTTCTACCGTATCTTAACAAAAACGAAGTAACTCAGTGACATTTTTTGGTAACCAATAAACACACTGAAATATGAACAAACCAAAATGTTGAAGTCTCCAAAATTGTCAAACAATCAGTTTTACATCACATACATTCAAGTTCACGTGCATTCAACTTAACTTGTCTCCTGGCGGTAGTGAAGGCAGGGAATCACAGTACAAAAGATGTTACGAGTCCTTTTACGCGGGCTTCAGTAACTTTGCCCAAGCTCGCAAAAAGCCGGGGTTCTAAAGCAGGAATTAAAAATCCACAATAGGCCATCCTGACTGATTAAATATGGACACAAACTGAATGTCGAACATGCTCTAATAAACTCAAACAAATAAATAATCTGATCTAACAAATTTGTATTAACAAAAGTAGTATTATACTATAATTTGAAGTTTATATTTAGTTACTATTTAGTTTGAAATTGCTAAGTAAACTTCATATAACTAAACCAACTTGATAGTATACAGGTACACAGGTAGTTCTGTCTTAATGTACTGACACAAGATATATATATATATATATACAGACGGATAGATAGATAGACAAAATACCAAAGTCCAAAGATGAGCTGCATAATTTATTCAACCGGTATCAAAGATGCGATTTTCAAGAGAACAGAGATACCGTTACCCTGTTTTGACGTCACAGTGATATATGTATATATGTATTCCAATCAAAAGAAGTTAAACAACTCGTGCTTGTTTAATATGTTAATCTGTGGTTGGGCTTTGGGGTATTCCTTTTCATCCATGGGTTGCATCCCTGTGAGTCCCTCATATGTTTCTGGGCATGTTATGTATCCACATGACATCTCCTTCACACAACAAGGCATCTGTCTATTCTTATCCCATCTCCACGGTATGTCAGTGCGGTCAGTTACACTGGTTAATGAGGCTTGGTACTTAGTGACAGAGAGTTAAATGTAAGAGGGATAAATGTGTATGTGAAAAGTTGCTTATGTCTAAGATCTGCATCACTTCTCACGCCATGCTGTAACTGAAATGCTTGTCTGTCTGTTGACATACCACCGTGATTGGATAGGAAGGTTCTGCAGGCATTATTTGGTGAACATGTTCAAATCACATTTCACACACAAACCAGCGTACTTCACTACAGTCATCATCGTTCCATACAGACCCAACCGTCTGTGAAAGGATCGGGACACAGTCCTCGTGCTGGCCTCCATATGTAAAGCTGGGCTCCCCTTTGTACCAGTTCGTGTACGTCGGGACGGAACCGTCAGTCCATCTGTAGACGTTTGACCTGGTCGTGTCCCGCAGTCCAATCCAGGGAAGCTCTGAAACACCAACTGGAGGGAATGAGGGGCAGGTGTGACTGACGGGAGAGTGAGACGGAGGGTTGTGTGAGTGGGGGAATGATGTGAAGACGCGACAGTATCGAGATTTTGTTTTTCTGTTTGGGCTTTGCCCAGAGGATGGATGTGACTGACGGAAGTGTGTGACTGATTTGTTGATGTGAGTAACGGGAGGGCGTGATTGAACTTAAGGTTTTGTGTAAATCACGAGAGGGTGTGACTGATGAAAGAGTGTGATTGACCGGAATGTCTGACTTATTGGCTGGTGCGACTGTATGACTGACGGGAGAATATGTTTTACAGAAGGTGGTGATTGAACTGTTTTTAACTTATGTTACTGTGTAACTGATGGGAGGGGGCAGACGAGGGTAATGACGGACTAGAGGTTTTGATTGATTGGTTTGTGTGACTGACACATCTTTTGACACAACTATATTCCAGCTATATGACGGCGATCTGTAAATAATCGAATCTTGTCCCCTGACACTCTAGTGATTGACATCATGAGCATCGATCTACACAATTGGGATACGATGACATGAATAAACCAAATCAGCGACCCGTACCACCCGATCGCGTTTCTCGACTCTTACGCCAATGAATAGTTGCCTTTGATGACAAGAATTGGTTGCTTAGACTTGGATAGTGTCGGATTTTAGTCTCACACATGTTGATTACAGAAATCTGTAGAAATCAGAGGCTATCTACACAGTTTCACTAACTTTGGTTTTTGTAGTCTTTGAAGTTGAACAAGCCTCTGACGATGTCCTGTTTCTCCGCTGTGTCAATCTTGACCAGTGGCGCGCCGTCAGACCTGCACATCTCTAAGGCTCCGTCTCATGTACGTCCCACATTGTATCTCTTCAGATGGATCTCGCCCCCCTCAACATGGAAAGTCGTGTATCGCTTTTCTTCAGCTGAATGTTGAACATGGAACTCACTCACATTACGAAACAGTAATGGGCCAACTTACTGCAAATATATACTCAACAACACGAGTTCCCGTGACACCAATATTTAAGTGCATTTTCAAACAAGTAAAGTTTAGTTTTCATTAGTGTAGTACATGAATGGAACCAAGTCCCATAAACACAACTGCTACAGAAAAGCATGCATTCCACGAATGGAATGGGTATAAAAACGTGTGGTAACGGGATTCCATATGCATTGTTTAGCATCGTGCTGACAACAACCACTCTGAAAAACAACAAAAGTACGCAATAATTCGACATTACGAAATGCCACGCCTGTCCGAAAATTAGCGCCTGCAAGCCATTGATATGCTTCAAGCAGGATAGAGTCAACGTGATGTTGAAGAAAATTTAACGTCCACAGAAACACCATATGGTGTTTATGACAACGTTGGCAACAGGCGAATGCAGTCAGAGACCATCAATTGAGTCGCAGGCCACGCGTAACCAATAATCAATGAAAACCGGCCCTGTTGTTCTACCGTTTTTGTGTCGTCATGGCCCAGGCATTACCTTTAAAGATGAGATCACCCGGCCTGATATTGCTCGACTTGTCCAGGATTCCCTTTAACAAAACAACGTGAATGTCATTCCCTGGCCGGCTCGTTCCCCTGATCTCTCAGCAATCGATGCCCATGTGGGATGAGATGCATCGGCGCCTTCGACGTCAACCACGTGTTCCACAGACACTCCAGGAACTTCGAAACGTGCTGCAGCAGATATGGACAGATATCCCACAGGAATTTGTGCGACGCCTGGTCAATTCCGTGAGACGAAGATTTGTTGCTTGCATCGTAACCAGAGGTGGACACACGCGCTTTTGAATTGTAAATTGACATTTTGGCATGTTCATGGTTTTGTTTTTATGAAATCATGCATTTTCTAAGGACATTATGGCAAATTAAACCATTTAAACACTTAAAGTAGTCTTTTATCTCTTGCAAACCGAAATTATTTCAGATTTGGTTAAAAACATAACTTTGCAGTAAATCGTATTCAATGTCACAGGAACTTTTGTTGTACATAAATATATATTTATCATATAATGGGTAGGCTTCTCGGCAGGATAAAGCCAACGGATAAAAACAATATGCAAGAGATGCAAATATCAAAGGTCAAGTAGGACTACTTTCACTGTTAATAAAAAAAAACATGGGGTCGACCTGGTCATTTGTTGATCGAGTCAGAATTAACCATCGGCAATCTGGATAAACTACAGGGATAATTGCTATCAATATCAAAATAACTAGTCTAATATACTGAAAAACAGTGTCTAACTGTGACGTAGCTAAGGCATTTTATAAGTTTTGGCAACTTTGGAGATATAAATTTCGAAACAATTTTGCGAGGGCACGAGGCCTAGCCAAGCAGGATCAGTAGCCATATCTGTGCTTGAGGCCTCTGCGGCTTGAAACCTTCTCAACAAATTAAAGTATTTGGATTTTGCCGAAATATGTTTGAATTGTTACCTTGTTTCGTTTTGTCGATGTGTGTACATCTAACTACGCTTCTTAACGTTATAACAGGACAGACTGACTGTCAACAACGCGTGACCGTGGCCGTGACGTCTCATAGACTAGGGTTAGGGTAGCTTCCCTATGACAGCGGACAGACCAATGGATTGCCGCGAAAGGCAATTAAAAACAACTGTTGTTTTGCGTATATGTGAGAGAGAGAGAGCACAGTCATGTCCTTACTCTCAGGCACAATATAGTAATGATGAATAAATGAGTGAAGATTGAACAGAGTTTTGTATATATACGCTCAAAACATTTGGAAGAGATATAGCATTTTCAGGTAAGGTGTAATCTCCTCTCATAATATGGGATCATGAAAGCTTTTGACCACGACACAGGAAACTCCCCATTATCGTTTTGAGAATTGAAAAACAATCACGAAAATATTATTGCCTGGTAATTTTAACACTTTGACAATAGTGTAACCTTCCCAAGCCGCCTTATTAGCCTTAAGTTTGTTTATTCTAACATGTATTTCAATTTTACCAACCCGTTCATCTATTATATCAGTCAAAGGCGACCTTTCAAATTGGTTCGACGGGATAAAATCCTCGAAAGCTGAATCGTTGATGTGGTCATTTCGGCCAGTGAGTGAGTGAGTGAGTGAGGGAGGGAGTGAAGAAATTTTCTCCAACACATTGTACGCCTGCGGGGAATCGAACAGGGTCTTTGGCGTTACTCTGAAATAGACAAACGGGTGTATGTCATCAGCAAAGAGACGTAATTCGGCTTTTACCTAGGTTCACGTTGTACCAATCCAATCATTAATTTTAATCGTCTAAACGTCATGGCAGTGGGGAATCAGAGTTAGAATATATCCTTAGAAAACTATGAAGGTCGTAAGAGGCTTCATAATGGATCGGGTGGTTAACTTTCGATCCACGTTTCAGACACCCTTACACATTAGCATCAATTGGTTGGGAATAGCCATTGGAAATTATGTAACTGATATGAGTACAATTAAATGAAATTCCACTTACTGTCCAAAATTGCATATCGACATGAATCATCTGAAACTCGGCCAACTGACACTGGACTCCCGTCTGTCACACCGAGGTGGCCGTACATGGTACAGTGGGAGGTGGTACGCTTGTACTCCAGGGCGAGACATCCGGGAAGAACACTGCATTCGACATTGCATTTCAAGAGAGATACAGCACTAACTGCGTATACAGCCGTTAGTTTATCATCAAAAGGTTTGTCAATTGTCTTAAAACTTCTTCCAACTACTTTTGCTTCTTGTAGTGAGGCCCCCAGTAGTATTAACACAGGCACAGCCACTGAGAACATAGAGCACGTAATATGTTTCTGTTGAAGCAGTGTCAGACCGACTGAGTGTCGCGTTTGTTCTATATGAATGACAAACGCAACCTACAGCCCTGCTCAAAACCAATATCTCCCCCCCCCCCCCCCCCCCCACACACACACACACACACACACAGACACGAACTGGGAACTATTACGTACCAGCAGAGTTCTGTGTCAATCCTAGTATTAACACAGGCAAAGCCACTGAGAACATAGTGCACGTAATATATTTCTGTTGAAGCAGTGTCAGACAGACTGAGAGTGACGTTTGTTCAATATACATGACTAACGCAACCTACAGTACTGCTTAAAACTAATCTTCCCGCGTTTATGATATGATGCTGGTAACAGTTACTTCACATATTCACATACACGCACACACAAACGCACACACACACACACACACACACACACACGCACGCACGCACGCACCAACACACACAAACACGATATATACATTAACACAAACACAACATGCATACCTAGTTACACAAATATATAAACATAAACACACACACAAATAGAAACATACAGAGACACACACAGATACACACAAATAGAGACACACATATACACACAAACAACACACCGAGTCTCACAGAGAGATACGCACGCATGCACGAACAAAACCAACTGAGAAACACAGAGAAACATATAGCGAGGTACACTCAGATGCAAACACACACATACAAAATCACACACAGAGATCCATCCACAGACAAGACACTCAGACACTCTCACATGTACACACACATGTACACACAGACACACACGCACACACACACACACACGCACTCACACACACATTAAAACCGGGATCATGGTTTTCTGAAAAGATCGATGCATGTCATTGTATCCCAATTTCGTAGATCGGTGCTCATGATTCATATACATAGTCCTAGAAGTGGAGTATTATTAAACACAACGTCGTCTATTGTAGCCAAAGTATTAATAATGCAATTGTTATAGAACTGAAACGGGTGAAACTGTTACGGTCGTAATTGATCGAACCTTTTTCATGCATCTCTTTAGTGACATACTCCATTAGATGGCATAGTTTATAGCACGCGTATCTATTAACATTATTCAGTAAGTGGGGCGATTACGTTTGAAACTATACTGAACCAAACTAAAAAATTCACAATCCTAAAATTTTTAACATTTTGACCAGTTATCATTGTGGGCCCTCATTGTGTATTTAAACAGTATTGACCACGTTTTGTCTTCAGATAACACCCGTTTATGTCCAGGTGAATTGATCAAAATCATGTGCACGGCAATATAGTGGCAAAAGTGATTTTTTCATGTGCAACTGGTCACGTGGCCATATACCGCACGTCTTTTCAGCAATACTTGTTAGCAGTCATGAACAAAAAAAGAAAAACCCAAGAAAACAAAAGTCTTTACGGCCATTTGTCATGCCATGCCTTTCAAATGTGCAACGTGAACGTGTCATCGGCATGTTGCAGACGGGAACGTCCGAAGCTGAAGTCGCAAGGACGATTGGTTGTCGTCGACGGACTGTTTATGATTTGCAGACGCGTCTACAGCAAACGGGTACCACCGCTAATCGCCCTCGGCCATGTCGACCATGTGTGACGTCACATACAGAGGATCGTCAGAATGTCTTACGTCACCTACGTAACCGAATTTAGACGGCTACATCGAATCCACGCTTGTTTTATAGGAGAGGCACTGACACCCTGCCTCCCGGTTGGTTCCCCAGGCCGCAGCTCCGATTGGTTCGATCTGGGGCCTGGCCCGCACCTCGGTTTTCCAAAACGGACCGACCCCTGTGTTTCTTTTCCATAGGAAATGGATTTTACCATGGGAGAGAAAGCACAACCCCGGGTTCGGCTAATCAGAGCCCCGCCTGGTCCGAGCGCGGCTTCTGATTAGTCGACAACCCAGGCTTCCGATTGGTCCGATTTCGATCGTTTTTTTCTTCTTCTGGGGTAGCCTTGGTATTTTTTGAGGTAGACGGTCGTCTGAATGCTAAAGGAAGGTGGACCTTCATAGGTAGACATGAACGTGGGAATGCCTACGTGATGTACGTTGTGACACTCCCATCGGAATGTCCTGTGTGTGAGTGTGTGTGTGTGTGTGTGTGTATGTCTTCAAACAGACGTTGACGTTGATGCATAGAAAAGCGTGTGGTCAATCACATTTTATTGTCCTGTGTGTGTGTGTGTGTGTATCGAGTCGTATCGTATTGAGATGAATAGAGAAAGATCGATACACCTGCGTGACGTTTGCACACGTCATGCACTTCGTGTCGCGATGTGAACGTCATGGTTGTACTTTGTGTGTGGTCATGCAAACGTCGTACCCTGTGCGTGTATGTGTTTTCAAATGATTATTATTATTATTATTATTATTGAAGGATACCGAGGTGTTGACACTCGTGTAAGTCGACAGGCGTACTGGGACAGGTGTTTTCTTGCACACGTGATGTTTGACGTGGCGTAGTACGTGTCTCTATTGATCTATTGATCTATTGATCTAACTCTATTTATATCTATTTATATCTATGTTTTGTATTTTTAGACGTGTACCTCCAAGAGGTGTAGGGGGGAGGGTGTGGGTTCTTTGTTTTGGATGGTCGTTGTTTGGCAAAGCAAAGGAGGAAAGTTGTCTTTTGGGTGAGATGGGTGGCCCTGAAAAGGGCCGTTTTGGGGAAGAAACACTTTTCTGCTGCTGCTGCTGTCCACTTGTGGGTTCAACCAAGAAAATATTTTTTTAACAGGAACTTGAACGGGAACTTGAACGGGAACGCAGGAATACGGTAAACGTCCTCCTAGGCAGCCGGCCGCGCTACGTCATTCCTGTACCTCTGTTTCCGGTGTTTCAACAGGCCGGTTAGCTTGAGGTAATCGCAGTCTGGGGACCACTTGTGATGTGCCCCCCAAGGATCGTCGTGGGGTGCCCATTGTCTCAGCCGCACCACACATTGGAAACAGCACACACCATCGGCACCCTGAGTGTAGACAAAGCCCGCATGGGCCATCTCTTCAGCAGTCTGGTACATTTGCGTGGGCCACGCCTCAAACGAAGCGAGCCTTCTTTCAAAGCGTAGATAATAGTGCGATGGCGTTTGACTGAGCAGTGACACCGCCTCCTCGGCATACTCCAACATCCACGAGGTTCTGCACTATCCATCACCGCATCTTCACCACGCATCGTCGTCGTACCACTCTTCTTTGTTTCAGCCATTCTTGATAATTTTATCTTTTTCACTAGTGACACTGACCCACTCGAATCCACACTTGTTTTATAGGAGAAGAACCGGATCGAAACTCACTGCTTCCTGGTTGGTCCAAAACGCAGCGCACCGATTGGTTCGTTCCGGGGCCTGGTCCGCACCTCGGTTTTCTAAAACGACCCGACCCTTGTGTTTCTTTTCCATAGGAAATGGATTTTACCATGGGAGAGAAAGCACAACTCGGCTCGGCTGCTGTCTTCTGATTGGTCGGTGCTGTCTTCTGATTGGTCGACAACCCAGGCTTCGGATTGGTCCGATTTCGATCCTGTTTTGGGGGAAGGGTTGTCCATCCATCAGACGTTCACCACCTCTTAGAGTACAGACGTTCACCAGACGCACATCGCTATCATGATAACCAAAGTACGCCCTATCGTTTGGAGAGGAAAGATACCACCCGTTCCAGACGGTTAAGAACCGCTAATCATACCTATCGTTTGACTTTCAACCCAGACTACTTGGACACCGTACCACCGGAACGCATCCCCATGGAACTGCCAGCTTTATTTGACAGGGTGATCGATGACTTTTATGAACAGATGTCAGGTCAGAAGGGAGATCGTATTGGTCTAGGTATCGATCATCCCGCTTTGAACACCCCCATACGGATTCCCTTTCGACGTTTTGAAGATCTCCATGGGGTCGATATTTTGCAAGCCATGGAAAAAGTCCAACAGTCCAACAAAGACCTGAACATCGATGCCATCATGGATGTGACCTTAGTACACGTCGCAGATCCCGACAGGCTAGGATCGGGCAGTGGCCGACTAAAAAACGTGATTGGACTCGAAGCCTTTTTAACACGCAAACAGTGCCTCGTACGGATCAAGAACCAAGATCAATCCTGTTTGGCACGGGCCCTGGTGGTGGCACAGCATTATGCCCACAAGCCTCACCCTCTGACCCCAGCATGGACCGCCGAGCGAAAGAGACTGACGAGAACGGATCGCGTCGACGTTCAAGGCACACGGGCACGGGCCTTGTTTCGACACCTTGGCCCCCCTGAATTATCAACTGAAAGTCTACAGTCAAGAGGTGGACCAGAGACTGTTGTACAAGTGTGATGAGGCTCCACCCCACGACACGGTGCTGCATGTCTATCATCATGATCAGCACTACGATGTCATCACTTCCATGCCGGCTTTTTATGGCTCTGTCCATTACTGCGAATGCTGCGACAAACGTTACGATCATCCCGAAAAACATCCCTGCACCAAGGAATACCGCTGTCACCGCTGCTTCCACTCTAGCTATCGTGGACCCCAGGAAGAGCTCGGGATCCCTTGCTTGACATGTCAAGGTTGGTTCCCCAAGCCACCGTGTTACACCCGGCATCTCCAGTCACCGTCAGAGGGAAAACCCAGCGCCTGTCAATCGATTCACAGGTGCCCGAACTGTTTTCAGCTGGTCCGCGTCTTGGAGAACCCCATGGTTCACCACCAGTGCTTCGACGAAGAACATCCCTGCTTGGTGTGCCGAGAACCAATGACCCAATATCATCGCTGTTACATGACGCCTGTCCGTGAAGAAAACGAGGAGGAGGAGGAGGGGTAGGAGGGAGAGGAAGCGGAGAAGGAGGAGGAGGAGGGGGAAGAGGAACAACATCCCCTACGAGACAATGTCCAATACGCCTTCTACGATTTCGAATGCATGCAAGACACGGGGGAACACATTCCAAATTTGTGCGTGGTGCAACTGGGATGTGGACGATGCATCAGTGAAGTGAGCAAGAACTTGTGCGAACACTGTCCATGGAGAGAAGAAGGGTATGGTCCCAGCCGTGAGATCCTGTTTCGAGGCCCCACCACGCGACATGATGTGTGTGTGTGGTTGACCACGTTGTCTGAAATACCCAAGAAGAAGCCCCACCCAGAGGAAGAGGAGGGCAGCACACGCAAGGGGACAACACAAAAACAACAACAAAAAAGAAAACGGGATGACACCCCCTCAAGAAAGTACGCTTCCAAACGTCAATGACATGCATCACCCCAGCAGGAGGCGGAGGAGGGGGAGGGGGAAGAGATGGAGGGGGAAGAGGTCATGGACGTGGAGAAAACAAAGAAGCCAAAGAACAAGAACACCACTTGCCATACAGTCCCGAAGGAGGATCGCATTTATGTGATGGCCCACAATGCACGATCGTATGATTTACACTTGATCCTGAAGGGCCTGTCCCCCCTCCTGGTGACACTCCCCTCCAAGATCCGACATGGCCAACAAATTTTGCAGATGACCCTGGGACGGTTGTGTTTCGAAGACAGCTTAAATTTCATCCCTTACCCCATGAAAGCCTTTCCCAAGAGCTTTGGACTGAAAGAAATGAAGAAAGGGTACTTTCCACACTTTTTCAATACGGGAGTCAACCAGACCTACAGAGGTCCCTATCCACCAGCCGTCACGTACGATCCCGATGGCATGTCTTCCGCGGAACGCACAGCCTTCCTCCAGTGGCATACTCAAAAAGTGCAAGAAGGAGCCTTGTTCGACTTACTGCCAGAGCGATGTGGACATTTTGAGACAGGGATGCGCCGACTTCCGACAGAACGCCATCCACTCGGTGGGCATGGATCCCTTTGTGGAAGTGATGACAGCTGCTGCGTTCACCATGAAATCCTTTCGAAAACACGACCTGAAACCCAATACCATCGCCATTCTTCCACCTCAAGGCTACCAACCCAAGAGAAACTATTCCCAGGCCTGTATGCACTGGCTCCACTATCTGATGGAAACGGACCCCCATCTGCACCTCCAGCACGCCAGGAATGGCGGTGAAAAAGAGTTCACGTGTGGAGGGGGTCAACATCCGTACAGCGTGGATGGCTACGATCCAGCGACAGGCACCGTCTACGAATTCCTGGGCTGTTTCTGGCATGGGTGCCAGTCCTGTCACAAGACCCAACGTGGAGAACCACATCCCGTCCTGGGCTCGTCGTTGGGAGCCCATTACACCGACACCCACTACCGCTTGAGTCTCTTGAGTCAACACCCTGAGGTGAAACGGATCGTCACCCTGTGGGAGCACGAGTTTACGAAAATGCAACGGGAGGACTCCGCTCTGCGTGCTTTCTTGCAGGGACCCCGCTGTATCCACGTCCCCGGGCCGCTCAACCCTCGCGACGCCTTCTATGGAGGACGCACCAATGCGACGCGATTATGCTACGAAGCCCAAGAAGGTGAAACCATCAGGAACATCGATATTTGTTCCCTTTATCCCTACATTTGTAAGACCGGAGCGTTTCCCACGGGACACCCGACCCTTCTCCATCAACCCCCTGTGGACACGTTGTTTGAACTGAAAGGCCTGATCCAATGCCGTGTCCTACCCCCGAAACGACTCTACCATCCGCTACTGCCTTACAGATCGGGTGGCAAACTGCTCTGTCCTTTGTGCCGTACGTGTGCCGATACCCGGTCAGACTCCCCCTGCCAGCACACGGACGAAGAGAGGTCTTGGGTGGGGACGTACGCCACCGTAGAACTTCAGGAAGCCGTGAAGAAGTATGACTACCGGGTGCTTCAGATCTACGACGTTTGGCATTTTGACACCTTTGCACAGCATGACCCCGACACCCAGCAAGTGGGACTCTTTGACACTTACATCGATCGACATTTCAAGGAGAAGCTCGAAGCCAGCGGATACCCGGAAGGATGTACGGATCACGACGCTTACATCAGGGAAATCTACGACAAAGAAGGCATTGAGTTGGACAAGGATCGCATCGAAAAAAATCCGGAACTTCGCACGATTGCCAAGATGCAACTGAATTCGCTCTGGGGCAAGTTTGGACAACGGGTAGACTACAGTCAGAACCTCTATATCAGCGATCCTGTACAGTACTTTGCCTCGTGGAGGGATGAACGCAATACCATCGAGGATGTGACCGTTGTCAACGAACACATGGTGGAAGTGACCTATACCCATCCGAAAGAATTCCAAACCCCTCATTCTCATTTCAACGTCGCCATCGCCGCTTGGGTCACCGCCCAAGCACGTCTCAAACTGTACGAGACCCTTGCCCTGGTGGACCGCAGGGTCTTGTACTTTGACACGGACAGCGTCATTTACATTCACCGACCCCACGACGCGAATCCAGAGCTGGGCCATTCGTTGGGTGAGTTTACGGATGAACTGGACGGAAACACCATCAAGACGTTTGTGTCGGGAGGCCCCAAAAACTATGGCTACGAGTTAATGAACCCCAGACCCGATGGAACGCGCACGACCTGCAAAGTGCCAGGGTTCACTTTGAATTACCGAAACCAACGCCATCTCAACTTTGACACCATGAAAGGACTGATACTGGGACAACGGCCTGGGAAAGAGGAGGAGAAAATCAGTTTGGATTACCCTCATCAGATCATTCGAAAAGGACCTCGGCACGAAAACGCATTCGTGACCCGACCCACCCGAAAAGACTATCGTACCGTGTACGACAAGCGACGTCTCGTCTACGACGAAACCACAGGGCTACCTGTAGACACGCTCCCCTTTGGGTACAGAGACGACTTTCACTAAAAAAAATAATTTCATGACAGCGGATCGAAACTGAATCGACATGGACCCCTTACAGAAAAAAACGGATCGAAATCGGACCAATCTGAAGCCTGGGTTGTCGACCAATCAGAGGCCGTGTTCTAGCCAGGGTGGCCTCTGATTGGTCGAACCGAGGTTGTGCTTTCTCTCTCACGCTACAAGCCTAACCCTATGGAAAAGAAACACAAGGGTCGGTCCAATTTGGAAAACCTAGGTGCAGGCCAGGCCCCGGAAC